TATATAAATATAATGGAATCATATCTACAATCTACAAAGGAGAGAGTATAATTAAGCAGAAAAGAATACAATTAACTTCGCCTACTTCAGTGGGAAATTAAACTGTGTAAGTTTATTCAATAATAATAGAATCATGTCTACCGTATACATAAATGTGAGCATCATCGATTAACAAGTATTTATCAATCAGATAAACTACAATAGAAAATTTAAATCATAAATGTTTATTTATTAAGAATAAAATCGTATATACTATTGATAAATATATCATCTAGATTGAAAGTCGAAGCGAGGCTATGCCTAAACATGCCATATGAAGGTTATTGTAGCTATTGTGATTATTAATTAAATACGACCATCTAATGTAGGGCAGGCTTTCAAGAATGTGTCAATTTATTTTACAGAAGTCTTTAACTTACTCAACGTGTGATTTCTTGGAATCATTCAGTAAAGTAATCGAAAGGTTATTAAGGCGTTGAATAAATGACAATAGCAAGGGATTTCTGCTTCTCGTATTTAATCGAATAACTAACTTACGAATGAGGTGACAATTTTTTTCAACGCCTATTCGAAATCGCAAATCGAATTAACTTTTATTCTCTTAAGTTCTGATATCTCAGCAAGTTGTTTTCTTACTATCAATTCGATATTAATAGCTTTATGTAATAGTGTAGTAAAGGAATTGCAGTCATGATAAACTTTCAACAAGGTTAATCAAGGTTCATCGTTCTAAGAAAATCGTCATGAAAATTATACTTGATATCCAACCCGGACAAATTTTAATCTTCCTATATTGATACACTTAAATCAGTACAAGCTAAGGGATAAACAGTATAAAAGAGCGAAATAACATATACATTAGACATTATTGACAATTCTGTTTGCTTACTAAGCAATTGTTAATATTTGTGACGGTACTTGGTATAAATTATAAGCTTAGAAGAAGAAGTAACCCGCTTTTACAATTACTCGTTAATTAATATCCATCAAATTGAGGCAGACATTATTTGGTGCGATGCTAGACTAATAGAAAATTCAGATTCTATCTTGCATAATAGTCATTGTATTTAAAGTAGAACATGGAATAAAGGAATAAACATTTTAGTGTTTTCCCATTAACACAGCAGGCTATTTTTAGTCCACAAGTGAGCCACTAAAATAGCAGAATACTGTTCGTAGTATAAAACCGCTCACGATTGAAATTAAGCTTACACTCTTCTCACACAATCTTGAATACAACCGCATCAATTTTATGCAAGTAGCGTAACATAAAATTCCTTACTTATATAATTCAAGATGATCAAAATCTGGTCTCTCTTTGCAATTGTGGCTCTTTTGCCACTTGTCATGCCAAATGTAAGTCTAATAGCTCAAGTTTAGATCGGATATACTCGTATACCTTTAGTAATTCTAATTCCCTTGATTTCGATCTGTAATATGAATAATGACGTTTACTTCTGTAGACACATCACAAACCTAAATCATGCTATGAAGTTAAACAATTCCTTAAAGCTACTGAAAATGGCTTTTTCACTCTTTATGATGCTAACGGTAACCCGTTCCGAAGTTTTTGCGATTTCGAATCAGAACCGCCTTTCGCTTGGACATTAATTGAATCTATGACTCTCGAAAATGCTCAAAAAGCACAACATAATAAGGGCTTCAGTGTCAATATCCCATTAGGCGAATGTCATACCTCTATGTCTCTCTTTCGCCTTCCATCCCATCATATGTCTTCTGTTTTATCTTCTTATGGATCCACACATTATCGTTCAACATGCAATTTCAATATCATTGAAGGAACTGGTCTAGCTAATCGTCGCGACTATATAAGATTCTCGGCATGTAGAGGTGCTTCTACTCTCAGTAATATAAACGGTGGCTGTGTAGAGGTAGATTATATCAATATCAGAGGGCAATCATGTAGAAAGTGCCAGATGCCATTTTATGCTTCTAGTTCACATCATCTTCATATCGATCTTACTGCCGCAGTAAGCCATTGTAGCAAATTTGGCTTTACTAATTTTGTGGCTAGTGAAGACGTGTTTGGCCACTATAACTCTCATAATCCAACATTTTCTTGTACTGCCAACAAAAATTCAACTACTGCTTGGTGGATAGGTGGGGCATATGCCGAGTAAATTGGATTTCTCATTTGGTAACTGTCTATTATTTTTATTGTTTCAATTGGTTACTTGTGTAACACATTACACCGCATCGTAAGACTTTTAGGGCTAGTTAAGCTATATAAGTACCCTGAATTGCAGATATTAATAATGGCAGTTCTATAATATTATTTGTTATTAGCTCGTGATTCGAATTAAATATATACTTATTGAGACTCAAGGGCTATTCAGTGTTTACAACATAACCACAAAATGCCGTAAATAATATATTTTGTTTGGATTATCGTGTAATTAGTAGGTTAAATTAGAAGCAGCAGCATTCTAGTTTATTTGTCGATTCGGGATAGCAAATAGCTATTGTAACTGCATTTATTTTCGAAATAAATTACAATTAACGGTATAACTACGGCATACCAGCCCTATTTTAATAGCGTTTAGCTACTAAAAATTATTAGCAAAATATTAGCGGTATACTCAATGCTATCCAAGAAAAATTTAATAAAATCATTCACATTTATTAATTCGTGTCTAACTTTTCACGCATACTACTAACAGTCGTAACAAAGTCGTGTAAACTTAAGTTTTCAGCGATAGATCACTCAGTCATTATAGAATAGAAAACCGTGAAAAGTATTTCTTGAGAATTTTATCACTTTCCATAATTATTGGTACTCTTTCTATTCTGACTCTGCTCGTTCCAAAGTTGAATGACGAATCAAAATCTTAAATAGCAAAGTCACAGCTAATTTATTTCTTTATAATATACAATTATTGTTCAGAATATTATAGCAAAACTACTGTAAGCGTATTACATAATTACTAAGGGTGTGCTAGATTGTCCTAAACGTTTATGCACTATATAAAATCTATACGCTATATAGATAATAATATCTATTTTCTATAATGTATGTTCTACTTATTGCTTTGGAATGCTAGCCTATGCTTATATTGCAGTATCAGCGTAAATTATTAGCTAAGAATTTGCTTCAAGTCTTTATATACTTCTGTCCTTCTCCTTCAAGTTTGGAACGATTTTGCTGTTTGGCTAATATTAGTGAAATTTTTGTAATGCTCCTTATTCTCGTACGCGTATTACAGCTATATAATCGAAACGACCGTCTAAGTTCTAGCAACTACACTAAATATAATTAATGTGCTGCTTTTTAATTTTATTAATTATATGGCCTGTAACAGATATATGAAAGTATGATGCTGGGCTGTAAAGAACGGTAAAGTATTTCCATAGTCGCTTTTAACGCGGTAAACGCGAGTTACTAGCAGTATTGATCAAGATAGTTCAATCACTGAAACGTATAGAGTATTAGCCTTATAAAAGTAGTGAGTGAGGTAAAGTAGTTTTTGTTTGAATGTATAATACACAATAACTTTGGTACTGGATACAAGTAATTTGTAAAAGATTTATTTAAGCATGATTTAAATTACGCAGGAATAATACCTTTATATTAACTGAATTAAATGGCTGCAATTGTAATTCACAATTATCTAGTACTTACGAAACCAAACATACTACAGCATATCAACCTATGTAAAAATATTGAATTTCAGTATCTATGTAACGATATCGGTATTATAATGAAATTGAATAGCAAAATTAAAAATGGATATCTTAAAATTTATAAGTAATTATCATCAACTATTACGTTAACTAATTTTTGTGCAATTGAGTAACATGACTATACTGTAGTAAACGACAGCGTTTTACTTGTTAAGTATAACTTTTCCCTACTAACAGAAAGTACATCAAAGCTTGTAATAGTCGATACAGTCGGCTAGACAAATAACATCACATACTGCTACAATAATTATAAAGGCGTTATGACTTAACACATCGGAATTTAATTTGCTAAATTTATAAATTTCTTCCTGACATTTA